AATTTACCGATTTAAAAAAATGACTAATATTATCCGACTTCCAGTAAAGTGACAAACTCCGACCTTGAGATACTTGAGGCGGCAGGTGAAGTCCAGGATGTGCCCGAGGTCGGCCTTGGCATCTCCGTTGGCACAGGTGGGCTTGGCGAGTTTCAGCTGCTGAGTGACAGCGTAAAGCTGGAGCGGTCTGAGGAAAAACACCTCGCCTGCTGCCAACAACTGCTCACCTGGGAGAACACACACAACCACCACATTTTATAGACAATACTGGAAGGCATACATGATGATAAAACATTATATTATGTATTGTGCAAAGAAGCATGCAAAAATAATATTGATGAACATGTAAATATCTTAAAATGGGATTTGCAGAACTTTAAAAATTATTTTATGAGCATATATTGTCTCTTTTATTTTGCATTTTCATCATCAGTAAAAAATATAATATATGATAGTAAGGTTTTATTTTTTATTTTAACAGGTTGCAAGACTATAGATGGCGAATGCAAAAGTATCATTTGGAGTTTTATTATAAAATTACATATTTTCTGCCACAAATATCACTTATCAGTCAAAGATAAGCATGTAATAACTGGAAAATTGATATAAAGAAACAAACCGTTATGAAAGAGCTCTTCAGCCAGGGCAGCAGCGATTCCATTGATTTCCTGAAAATAAGGACGTTTTTGTCAAAACTGGAGATCTAATGTCACGTCACTTTAGTGCTTTAATGACCGGCATGTGCTTCTCCAACTCATTTCCTGAAAGATCTCGCTGGAGGAAAGCAGAACCACTTCAATTTCCTCCTTACAGCTTGGTTTTTTGCTTCTAAATATTCTGAGAAAATGCCTTGAGACTCTTTTATATGCACAAATAAGGGTTATTATAGTTAACTAAAAACATTATCTGAAATTAAATTTGAAAAAAATCTTAAACTTACTTTATTTCAGTGATTTGCCATGGCAACATTTAAAATTTTCATTTAGTTTGATATTCTAAATTTATATACTAAAACAAAATAATATACACAATGTAATATAATATAAAACTGAAATAAAAATTATATAAAAGGCTAATAAAAATGACAAAACGAAAACAGGAAATAAGACCTTTTTTAAAATATGAATAACACTAGAATTATTTTATCTGAACACAACAGTATGAAGCTTGTTTCCGCCACAGAATCAAACAAATGTAAAATGTAATAATTGTGGGATATAATAATGACATTATTCTGACTTTTTTCCTCACAATTGCAAGTTTATATGGTGCAATTCTGAATTTTTTCAGAACTTCCAGTTTTATCCCGCAATTATGGTTTTTTTGTTATATTTAAACACGCAACTATGGGGGAAAAGCTCAGAATTGAGAGATAATTTGCAATTAACTTTTTAATAATCTGTTTATTATGAGATATAAACTTGCAACTGCGATAAAAAAGTCAGAATTGTGAGATATTTAAAAACTGCCAGTTTATATACCGCAATTATGACTTTTCCCTCCAAATTCTGAGATATCAACATGCAATCGTGAGGGGGGAAAGCCAAAATTGGGAGATATAAATTTAATTTTTTCATTCCATAAAGCAAAACAAACATCCATAAACGATGCTAAAATAACACTTCCACAAATCAAACAAAAGTCCCAATTGCACAAATGTACTCCTCTCCAAAACAACTCAGACCGGTCATATGCCTCTCTCAGACAAAAGCCGTTCAGAGATCAATATCAATACCACTACTGTCAGCGGATGGGGACACCATCGCTTACGGCGAGATAACAGGCCTTGCTGTCCTGTGAACCATTTATACGGCTGAGACAAAAGAATGCAGAGATTCATCTTTACTGGATGTGAAGGCAACAGAGCAAAGGTTGCATCCAGTTGTTTCGGATTGATTACACGCAAACTCCAGTTAATATTTAACCGGCATGCGACAGATATGAAGCACAGGAATCTTCTGTTTAGACTCTTGTAATCACAATAACGCAATCTCTCGCTTCTTATCAAACACAAAGCACATCAAAACTTACATATAAGTGAAAATGCAAGAAGTTAGACAGGACTTTGGGAGTCGCCGCAGGGAATCTGCTGAGGAGTGTTTGGAGATAAACTTCCAGCTCCTTTTGTCGCTTCTCGACGAGGCTTTTGGAGTTTTTTCCGATGATCTTTTTGGGCGGCAGCAGATGTTTATCGATCTTCTTCTCCACAGTGAGCTGAAGTCAACAACATTTAATCAGTTTTATCAGTCACTCCCTGTGAACACAATGTGAATATCTGAGGTCTGATCTTTGGTTTTAGGAACGTGTCTGCATAACTCACTTTTTCGTGCAAATCGTGAAAGTCACTGTAACGATGTTTGACAGTCCAACTGTGATCTCCAACCTTCACCTCTATGATGTAAACCTGAGGAGTTGAGAAAATACATTTATATTTGTTTGACATAAAATTAAATTGTTAATTAATACTGTGCATTAATCCGTTTTAAACACAGCAAACCAACCAATGCTTCTACAGTTTGGCAAAGATTCATATCTCATATTGTGTTTTATGCAAATGAGCATGCACATCCTTCAAGTGGCCTTTGACACTGTATGAACCGCTATTTTTATTAATGATCAACATGCCTATTAACAATTAAACACAGGATAAAACATTTATAAATGATCAATTAATGCTATAATCATATAATGATCTCATCAAGTCATCAAGTTTATTATAAAAAAAAAACATCCGCTCTTGTGCAACACGCATTGTTTTCTTAAACGCCCGTTGTATTTTATACGTTACAAAAATCCTATTTTAATCTAATCTAAACTAAATACTTAAATCCAACAAAACGAACAGCATACATAATTTTAACTTATTGCATTCGCAAATCGTCATCATAAACATGAGTATGCACTGAACAGCCGACCCAAATAAAAGCATGAAACTGACCGTGTAATTCTCCACCAGCTCGGATCCCACGATGCGGACCCGTTTCTCCGGGCTCTGATCGGAAAGATGCGGCGCGTCCATCTTCACTTCAGCGCGATGAAAAATAACAAGCTTAGCTGTCATGTAGCGCCTCCATCTTTGTTGTGGTGTAATCCGAAACGAAGCTCCTCCTACTCGTTTTTCTCACAGGCCGCTGCGCTCGCACACAGAGAGAGCTTTACCGCCCCCTATCGCATGAGGCTGTTACTACTACAACTATGCATTACATCGTCAGCAGAACTCAAATCATAAATATCATTATCAATACAGTGATCTTTAGGGTGAATTCAATAAGATTCCCCTATTCACTTTACGATGTACCCACTGACATTTAAAGTAATGGGCTAATCTTTAATACATACAATTAACAATACATTTGCGTTTTGTTGTGTAGCTTATTTGATATCAGAGTAAAGTAATATTTTGATAGATATTAATATTTAACTCTATTTTTTTGTAAATATACGTTTAAATGTATATAAAACAAAGAGTCATGTGACTAGTGTTACTATAACAATCCCAGATACCCTGCAATTTCATTATGAACCCCTAGGGGTTTCAGAGACAAGGAATAGGTTGTGGTCGCAACCAGTAATAAATAAATAAAAATCTAAATAAATAATCATTAAGGGCACCTATAGCATAAATTGTAAGAACTGTCGAATATTTTGATTTATTATTTATGGCAAAGTATTTTTAATAATTTTAAATATAACAAGTTATAATATAATATTATTAATAGTTTAAAGCTACCCTTATTTCAAGAAAGAAAACTAACACAATCACTGTTGCACAATTTATTTTTATTATTATAAAACTTATTATGACATGGACCTATATAAATACATTTTTCTTACTTATTAAAGGTATTCAGCTTACATATTGAAATCCAGCAACATCTATCTATCTATCTATCTATCTATCTATCTATCTATCTATCTATCTATCTATCTATCTATCTATCTATCTATCTATCTATCTATCTATCTATCTATCTATCTATCATGAACTAAACTATATATTCTTCTCATCTGGCTGTCTTTTTATCCTGGAGTTAATTTGCTCACTCGTGAAATCACTGATGCATTGAATGCATTCACTCGTTCATTTATTTATTTATTCATGTCAGGCTGAAGGCAACCATCTTTTTCTCGGTTCGTCGAGCTCGATGTTTGTCTAATATAGAAAATCAGTGATTTAATCCCCCGCTAACGTTTAAGGAAGTGCCTTTTCCTCCTCTTTGTTTGTTATTCAAAGGTTTGACGGGGCTGGTCGAATGGAAGAAGAAAAGAGTGTTTGTGTGCGCCGTTAATGTCATAAACTAAGCATTTTAGTGATTGTCCCTCGTGCAAAATAGTAAGTATTTGATCGGGCGGTTCACTCATTTTAGACTCGATTAAACAATAAATGCCACATTGATGGAAAATCTTAGTCATATGGATACATAAACAGAAAATGTGTTTATATGCATACAAACAGTGAATTTCATATCCTTATAAGGAAAACGAGAATGCGTTTTCATTTACGTTATAGCCTAAAAGAGAACCGAGAAACAAACATAACGACTAAAAAAAGAACTATTCGTTCATACGACAGCCATTAGCTTGTTGTCCTCACACATCTTTCACATACATCACGTACACGCTCTCTTTGTCGTTATGACGTTTCTCAACTGATCTAGGAGCAGATTAACGTTCTTGTCCATGCATGAAAAAGACGCGGATTGACTGCAAAAACTGTTCCTGGAACAGCAGCTGTAAAGACGCCCAGAGAAGGAACAAACCATTCCGATCGCGGAGGGTGAAAATGTTCGGGATACGAAACAACGGCGTTTTCGTCACTCTTCTCCTAAAAATAGATGTGGTTTTAAAATATTTAAAATATAAGTATAAATTAGCATATATAGGATGTTGTTAGATCAAATTATAGGCATATTTAAAATACTTTACCTCAAGAAAGAATGAAACGCCCCTATGCCTTCGATGGGGTTTGGAGCGCCCAACACTATAAATATCACACCAGACGCTGATTTCTGTAGATGTCAACTGTCATTTCGAGACAAGCGCTAGTCAGGTACGGGCAGAAAGCGTAGTTTGTTGGCATTTAACCAAAAGTAAAACAAACTACAAGCATATTTTTTACACTCTTTAGACATTTAAACAACGAATTTGCTTTTAATCTGAGGCAAAAAAGACACTGGTTACTCGGAAAAGCTGAGGAGGGGTGTGACTGATCTCAGATCAGAGCCACACGCGAGTCAAGCTGCCTATACAGAGGGCACTGCGCCAGGCTATGTGCCATCTAAAGCCAGTGACAAAGAAAAAATCGGAAAAGAAAGTAAAAAGGTAGACGACTGAGGGGGTGAATCGTGTAGAAAGGCACGAGTAACCAAAACCCCTAATCAAGGAGAAGAAACAGCCTTTGTTGCCCTCCAGATTATGTGAGAGCGCCCTACAGCTGATGCTAGACACTGAGAAAATGTGTGGAAGGGGCATGATATGCCAATGGGAGGTCTACGGCAACAGACCTTCCATCAAGGAGACGGAAAAACACAAGAGCGAGTCGAGGAGAAGCAATGGCAGTGGTAAACACAAGTGGCACAAATGGGGAAGGAGGCCAGGAAGAAAGGCGCACTGTCCAGAAATGCGCAGAAATCGTGCGAGACCGTCTCGGTGGTCTACCACTGTGGTCTCATTGCGTCCTGCCAATGTTCAAGGCAACCGAGCGCCTGGCATGAGGGCGCCCAGGAACACCAACCAGTTCCTCATGCATGAGAAATATCAGATGATGCATATGCGATCGGACTCAGTTGGCACAGACAGCGGGTCCGACTGCGAAATGGACTTTGCGGATATGGACTCGTACCTTGGTGTGCTGGAAAACGCTAGAGGCGCACTGTTGGACAGTCCAGATCTGTCTACACCACCCACATTTTACGCACGTCAGATGAAGCAATGCCAGCCGTTTCCCTTCTTCGGCTTCGATCAAGAGGAGAGCATGCAGTATTTCCCATCAGAAGACGACGTGATGCAAAGCGAAGGCTTCATGCAAAGGGACTTCAAAGAATTCTGTGACAATGTGGCACCGTGTATTTAGACCTGCCACAGGTAACATGTTTACATCATCACTACGGTGGTTTCTGAACTGTTTTTCACAACTAAATCTGTCGATTGCAATGTGACAAGGTATTGTTTTGTTTGTTTGTTCTGTGATGTATTATGACTGGTCTGTTTTGGGAGGGGGGGGAGAAAAGGGTCCAAATTAGGAGTGAGACCAGCCAGCCAATCACCATCAAGATCATTTGATCACTCATGGCAAACATAGCAGCGGTTTGTACTGCAAAACTAAACTCTATGTGAATGTTCTTTTCATAATAAATCGTCATTTTGCTACACATTGTCTATATTTTTTTATTCACTGTTTATATTTTGGGATACGTTTTGCTCAATGAATAATAACCTGCCAATAACAGAATGACTTGCCAAAGATAATTATTCACAAGCTTTGCATCATTTACAGGTGCATTGTTGAAACCGAACAGCATTTTACAGAGTGGCATTATCCAAATATTTTGGGGTCATGACAGAAATATGATCCCTGCGTAACATTTAAGAAGCACCTTTTCTTCTTTCCAGCCTACACACCCTTCTTGTACATCAGTGGCTCTTGAAGATCTGACACAAGAACAATAGCAATGCTCATGAGACAAGGTGTGTGTGTGTGTGCAAAAGTGCCTCTATAACCGTATAATCTGCGTCACTAATAGGGTTTCCGCTCTGAAGCACACAATGAGACCTAGTATCATCTTTAGTTTTGTGTATGATGTGTTTAATAAGGAAATTTAAAGCCCTGCTAGTTAATAAAAATGCAAAAAGATTTAATAAAAAGCCTCAGATGAAATCTTTCTCATGAATTAGACTCCGAGTGTTTTGATCAACAGTGGTTCAGCCCCTTTCCCGCAAAGCTTGCCAACTGCATATCAGATAATCGAGGTGCAACTTCTTCCAGCCAAACCGACAGGATTGTGTTCAATCCCCCGACTCCATTTCTAGCCCTTTAACTGCCGGTAAAAGAAATAAACACTTCATTACGATGGGAAAAGAGACTTTCAAATGGATTTTAGGAGTTGACAAGGCAGGAGTGTCTTGAATCTAAAACCATTTTTTAAAATAAATTATTTTACTTGCAATTTTCATGACCTCATCATTTGAAAGAATACATAATATTTCTTACAAAAATAAAAAGTAATTATTTTTCAATAAAGGAAATTGAGGATCATGAACAGTTTTTTAATATACTTTTATACTTTATTTTTTTTAAATTAAAAATAAAAGACAGTATAACAAATACTATATGAAAATATGTATACAATTTTTTTTATCTTTCACTAGCATCCATTACTTTATCCATTACAGTAATGAGAATTTGAGGAAATCTTTTTAACTGTCATGAAAATAATGCAAAAAAAAAAACAAAAACATTTTCCTTTAGCAAAATATATAAGCTAAATATAACATATAGTAATAGTTTTTGTGACGATATGTGGCATGGGTATGTTTTTGACAGGTTTCCACAACTTTACTCTTGTAAATTAATAAAAATGGAAATTTGGAAATTTGGAGACCAGTAACAGCTTTTAAATATGCACTCTTAAATATTAAAATCAATTTAAACCTCTCAGAGCATAAGATAAAACTTTCAAATCTATTGTTCTATTCAAACACACGCACATTAACCAACTTCGAGATTAAAAATGCCTTATGCCAGGAACAAGATTTCACATGTGTTGAATGAGGCAAAGCTGCCCTTTGACCAGAGCTTAAGGTGTTCAGATCAAACGTGTCTTGTGGTTCGTGAAGGTTGGCTGAGGAGTTAATCAATAAACAAAGTGGTTTAACATCAAACTCAATTTGTCAATTAAATATGATATAACACTTAGATAAGTGTTAGAAAGGACGCTCCCACACTGTAAACGGACAGGTTACATGCCTCGGCAGTGTCTTGCATAATCTCATATAATTTGTGTATAATTGTTATGATCTCATATTGGGTTTATGACCTCATACTGATTCAGAAACTACATGGAATACTTTTACAAGTTAGTGAAAAAAGATCCTTCTTTCAGGTCATAAACATTCTGTCAATGCCATTTTTGATAACCGTTCTGAAAAGGAAGTGTAGAATTCTGATATTGAAATCAAATTGAAACTCTGAAATAAGGGAGAATTTGGATTCGAGTTACAAAGAAGCAGAAGGTCTTGATCATGTGATGATGAGGGTATAGGAGGAGGGGAATGGGAAAGACAGGATAACGACTGCTAACAGTCAAGCTAGAACTTTAGTAAACACATGTGATGTCAAACCTGGCCCTCAATGCACGTATTGTTCTCGTTTTCTTTATCTTTCATAAAAGTATTTCATATTCATATAGTGAAATACCTAAAAAAAAGTCCCTATGCTATTTAAAAGGTTCCTAATTTTGTTTGCATGCACCAAAGGTAAAAAAAAACGTGTTAATTTTCTCATAATATACATGATACTTCTCAGATTGGTCAGATGGCCCAGTCTGTTGTGATTGGTCAACTCTTCTCTGATTGGTCAGATGGCCCAGTCTGTTGTGATTGGTCAACTCTTCTCTGATTGTTCAGATGGCCCAGTCTGTTGTGATTGGTCAACTCTTCTCTGATTGGTCAGATGGCCCAGTCTGTTGTGATTGGTTAACTCTTCTCTGATTGGTCAGATGGCCCAGTCTGTTGTGATTGGTCAACTCTTCTCTGATTGGTCAGATGGCCCAGTCTGTTGTGACTGGTCAACTCTTCTCTGATTGGTCAGATGGCCCAGTCTGTTGTGACTGGTCAATTCTTCTCTGATTGGTCAGATGGCCCAGTCTGTTGTGATTGGTTAACTCTTCTCTGATTGGTCAGATGGCCCAGTCTGTTGTGATTGGTCAACTCTTCTCTGATTGTTCAGATGGCCCAGTCTGTTGTGACTGGTCAATTCTTCTCTGATTGGTCAGATGGCCCAGTCTGTTGTGACTGGTCAATTCTTCTCTGATTGGTCAGATGGCCCAGTCTGTTGTGATTGGTCAACTCTTCTCTGATTGGTCAGATGGCCCAGTCTGTTGTGACTGGTCAACTCTTCTCTGATTGGTCAGATGGCCCAGTCTGTTGTGACTGGTCAATTCTTCTCTGATTGGTCAGATGGCCCAGTCTGTTGTGACTGGTCAACTCTTCTCTGATTGGTCAGATGGCCCAGTCTGTTGTGACTGGTCAACTCTTCTCTGATTGGTCAGATGGCCCAGTCTGTTGTGACTGGTCAACTCTTCTCTGATTGGTCAGATGGCCCAGTCTGTTGTGACTGGTCAACTCTTCTCTGATTGGTCAGATGGCCCAGTCTGTTGTGACTGGTCAACTCTTCTCTGATTGGTCAGATGGCCCAGTCTGTTGTGACTGGTCAACTCTTCTCTGATTGGTCAGATGGCCCAGTCTGTTGTGACTGGTCAACTCTTCTCTGATTGGTCAGATGGCCCAGTCTGTTGTGACTGGTCAATTCTTCTCTGATTGGTCAGATGGCCAGTCTGTTGTGACTGGTCAACTCTTCTCTGATTGGTCAGATGGCCCAGTCTGTTGTGACTGGTCAACTCTTCTCTGATTGGTCAGATGGCCCAGTCTGTTGTGACTGGTCAACTCTTCTCTGATTGGTCAGATGGCCCAGTCTGTTGTGACTGGTCAACTCTTCTCTGATTGGTCAGATGGCCCAGTCTGTTGTGACTGGTCAACTCTTCTCTGATTGGTCAGATGGCCCAGTCTGTTGTGACTGGTCAACTCTTCTCTGATTGGTCAGATGGCCCAGTCTGTTGTGATTGGTCAACTCTTCTCTGATTGGTCAGATGGCCCAGTCTGTTGTGACTGGTCAACTCTTCTCTGATTGGTCAGATGGCCCAGTCTGTTGTGATTGGTTAACTCTTCTCTAATTGGTCAGATGGCCCAGTCTGTTGTGACTGGTCAACTCTTCTCTGATTGGTCAGATGGCCCAGTCTGTTGTGACTGGTCAACTCTTCTCTGATTGGTCAGATGGCCCAGTCTGTTGTGACTGGTCAACTCTTCTCTGATTGGTCAGATGGCCCAGTCTGTTGTGACTGGTCAACTCTTCTCTGATTGGTCAGATGGCCCAGTCTGTTGTGACTGGTCAACTCTTCTCTGATTGGTCAGATGGCCCAGTCTGTTGTGATTGGTCAACTCTTCTCTGATTGGTCAGATGGCCCAGTCTGTTGTGACTGGTCAACTCTTCTCTGATTGGTCAGATGGCCCAGTCTGTTGTGACTGGTCAACTCTTCTCTGATTGGTCAGATGGTCCAGTCTGTTGTGATTGGTTAACTCTTCTCTAATTGGTCAGATGGCTAAGTCTATTGTGATTGTTCAACTCTTCTCTGATTGGTCAGATGGCCCAGTCTGTTGTGATTGGTCTACTTTGCTCTGATTGGTCAGTTGGCCAAGTCTATTGTGATTGGTCAACTCTTCTCTGATTGGTCAGATGGCCCAGTCTGTTGTGATTGGCCTACTTCGCTCTGATTGGTCAGATGGCCAAGTCTATTGTGATTGGTCAACTCTTGTATGATTGTTCAGATGGCCCAGTCTGTTGTGATTGGTCGACTCTTCTCTGATTGGTCAGATTGCTGTTGTGATTGGTCTACTCTGCTCTGATTGGTCAGACGGCCCAGTCTGTTGTGATTGGTCGACTGCTTATCGCAGATGTCGGAAACGAAACTCCATTACATATCTGAATTTCAGCTCTGGATCTTCCTCAGCAATCGTACACAGTGAACAGTAACGATGACATTATTTTTTCCGTATCAATTCCAGCTTAAGTTCTCCTCCTTTGGAAGTGCAGCAAAGTGGATTCGCAGCACTGAAAACAGCGTCTTCTCGACATGTTGACAACACAAACCAAACTCTTTCCAGCCTCAACTACAGAGTTTGAGGACAGGTCAAAGGCAAGCCAATGAAAACCATAGGCTGGCATTATAAAAAAAATGTGTTATATTATGTAACAGGAACTGAGGCTGGAATTCCTGATGACTCATTTTGGCAGATCAGAATCAATTCTTTCTTTTAGAAGACAATAACTTGTCTTTGATCTTAAAACTTTGCAGAACTTTTATATTCACAAACAGCTTTACACACGGCATCATTCACTTCCAGGTCTGTTGGCTATAGAAAAACAGTCCTTTATGCTGCTTGATATTGCAAAATGGTATTTGTTATCGTATCATTTAATCCATTGTCGTAATTATAAACACACTGGTTTGTAGTGCAAATAGTTTTACTGCACTTTTCATTTCTCATTGAAATCTATATACATTTATCAGACATTAGTCACTGGCAACATATAGTT